ATCATGGGGCCCCTGTGTTCATGGCCAAACTCAAAAAAGCCTATGAAAAAAGGTACCAGGGGCCCCTTACTGACCCCGGGCCCCGGGCAGTGCCTGAGTTTCCAAATGGTAAGTCCGCCCGTTTGTAATTAATCCTATGCGGAGTAATTTATCACTACATTGGTGAATGCAGTATAGTATTTATTTGATCTGGATCAAATAAATACTATATTGTATTCACCAATGTAATGATAAATTACTCTGCACAGGATTAATTACAAACCATCTTTTAGGCAGATTTTGCACTAGCCAACTGCCATTTTATTTTCTTTAGACAAAATAGACTCACCTGCCTACAAGCAGGCCATGTTAACGTGCGCCTCGGCAGTCAGGGTGTCGGGACACTATGGTTTGACCACCTGTTTTTACTGTTTTTACTGTCCATCAGCTGCCCAGGTAAACAAGGCCTTAGGCATCAGGCCTGATGTATAGAAGAGTCTGAACATCTGCAAGAAAACGTGTCTGCTGCCACAAATCTATTTTTTTTTTTTAATTACAGCTTTTTAGAAAAGGGAATAGAGTGGAACACCTCGGTATCACTTTTTTGGCTTGTACAAGATTTCCTGTTGAGTATTTAATACATCAACTCATTCTTTCTTGCTTAGCTCTTGGCCCGTACATCCTTCAGGAGAAGGGATGTTTCCGTTGTCAGGGTGAAGACATAAAACCGCTCTGACTGACAGTCGGGCCTGTTATCACTTTCTGGTGATCGCTCGTCGTCATCCTGTTCGCTCTGCTCTTATTCTTGGTTATATTTAACTGTGAGAAAGCACATTCAGAGACCACTAATTAAAATAAGATGTGAAGCTCCTTACCAAACCAATTTTCTTGCCAAGAAGTTTGACTTTGAGGACCCAAAATCCCACGATCCAAATCTATCCACCCCTGAGCTGTCATGGAGAAATTACAGTTATTTTTTATGAAACCTTTTTTAGGTCAGTGCCTGGCATGTTTAAAAGGCTGTTCCAGCCAGCCAAGAGTTTCCTTTGAATTTCAGATATAGTGGGCAAAAGTTAGAATTTCTCTTACCTATTGAAAAGATTTTTCCACACTGTGGGCTCATGAACTACTAGAACCTGCCCACCTAAAGAAGGGCATGCTGCTGCTCAGAACTGTGCACATACTGTGGCACCACCAATTTAAGTGTATGTGGCCATGCCACAGTCTCTCTGCACCTGCATGCAATGCTACTTGTTGCACCCCAGGGGTTCAGCCTTTTCAGGGTTCAAACAGGTGGTGAGGTGGCTTCATTAGACCGTCAAATCACTTTTCAAACGCCCAGCATGGGCTGCTATATGTGAGAACGAGCCTGTGTGGTCTCCAAGATAGGAAGTGAGCAAAAAATAATTCTTCACAACACTGATGGAAACCTGAAATATGCTTCAGCTGAAGGTGTGCTTTAAACAACTAGTTAACTTAAGCTGGCCATAGATGGATTGTAATATGGCTGGTTCAGCAGAGACCGGCCGAATTTTGATCCACCTGTATTGTAGAAAGGGTCAACACAGTACAACTAGGCCCGGTGAGTAGGCATGACTGTCTGGAGCCACTCGCGAACTGTAACAGCGGTCTGTAGACTTTAAAGATGCCAACAGCATCTGCAATTAGGAGTAGAATGCAGCCTGGCCAGTCCACACCCAAAGAGGAAGCTTCTTGAAGTGAGGTAGATGTAGTCCCTGCACTGTCCCTCCTCCTCTAGAACCTTTCCCTATTCCTAAGCACTTATCCTTTCCAGATGGGGAAGCTGTCCCTACACCAGCCACTTGCATAAGGTGCTCCAAACCTGGGAGCTGGAGTCTTAAATAGACTCTGCCTGCCCCAAGATGGCCACCAAAGTCACGTGGGGTGCCAGCACACAGTCGGACAGCTGTCTCCCTGTGACCACAGGAAATCCTGGAGGAACCAAGTTCCTCACAACTTCCTTCCCCTTCTGCATTGCCACTTCAGTTGAGCGCCACATACAATGGGGAATACAGACTGCACCTGTCTACATACACTATATTGCCAAAAGTATTGGGACGTCCCTCCAAATCATTGGATTCAGGTGTTCCAATCACTTCCATGGCAACAGGTGTATATAATCAAGCACCTAGGCCTGCAGACTGCTTCTACAAACATTTGTGAAAGAATGGATTGCTTTCCGGAGCTCAGTGAATTCAAGTGTGGTACCGTGATAGTTTGCCACCCGTGCTATAAGTCCATCCATAAAATTTCCTTGCTACCAAATAGTGGTGGGGCTCTATGCAGGGACACCGCTATTATATTAATTGCTGGCCGTAGACGGGGCAAAAACCAGCTGACTTTTTTTTACAATGGTAGTACCGTCGGCTGACTGAACGACCGATTTTATGATTTTCTAAAAAAAAAAAGGACTTTTTTTACAAGTCTATGGCCTGCAGAGTAGTGAAGTGTTGGTGCTCTGTCATGTTTTTACCAATGGGGAGATTGACCCTCACTCTTCAGGGAACCACCTGTCACCAGAACAGGAAATGAAGGCAAACCATGAGGCATTTGCATGGTACAGGGCATTGACTATACACACTCCTAGGAGTTCTTGGAAATGATGCTGTCATGAAGGAATACTGTATGTATGAAAAACATCATACAGGTAGTGCTTTGATAAATGTTTACCATTTTTTATGTTTTGTAAGTTCAAATAAAAAGTTATTATTAAAAGCTCCATGACTGCATTTTTGACCATTGTCTGTAGGGATAGCCTTGCCACCAAATTCCTTCTACAGATGTCTGACTCGGCCTTGTACATGCTCATTGTTCAGGGTCTTGTAACCTGGCGGGACAGTTGGGATTCTTTTCCTGCTCCTGTAGCTGTTATATCCAGCTGTTAACTAGTTTCATGACAAGAAATTACCCGTGTTCTCCCTTCCTGGTGATTAACTGCCATTCATGTGCATCTCCTGTCTATAACAGCCGTATGGGGGCAGACGGAAACATAACATCCATCGTCTGCCTAAACATGAAGATACCATGACCACCAAACTCAGCCTTCCATAAACTTACGGTTAGGTCTGTAGGACATGATAAATGGATGTTCACATTGCCTTATGTCTCCTTTATGCATCTTAAAGAAAACTGATAGAAACACAGAGGTTGAGGTTGATGAGACCTCATTCTGCAAATGCTAGTAGCGGGCCTGCCATGCTGGCCTTCTGAATTAAATTTTTTGGGTTAGTGACCCAGAAGAGAATTGTAGATAATTCTGACTTCTAACTTTCCTGATTCTGGGTCAGCGGTCAGGATAAAAATGAACTCTATAGGTCGGCAATCACAGCCTACCTTTTTCCCTCAGGAAAGGTTTACTTTAAAGTGGATTTCCACTCAAAAGGCAAGCCGGCAAGATGGAAGGGTACCCCTTTGTCAAGCTTTGAGCTTGACAGAAGAGTGCGCTTGGACGACAATCTCACAGCACATGCTCAGGAATCACTTCACTACGATGCCCGGTGACGTCATCATGCATATGTTGCACTCCATGTGCGGTCCAGACCTCGGTACCAGGCCCCTTCCATCTTGCCATCTTGCCTGGACACTGACAGAAGGTCAATTGTCATCCACAGCCGCATATTATGTTGCTCACCATGGCGGACTACCCCATGACAGATTATTGATGTGCCTGCTTTTAATCTACCCTCTTGTAAGTTGCTTTTTACTGTGTGAAATAAAGGTGTTTTAAAGTCTACACTTAGAGGCGCCTTTCCTCTTCCTTCCCTTTGTGTGCTGGAAGTCCCTCCCTGACACCTTTTTTCTTTTGGTGTTAGGACCAGGGGCAGACTGACCATTTGAAAACTCAGGCATTGCCCAAGGGCCCGGGGTCAGTAGGGGGCCCCATAAGATGCCCCTGGTACCTTTTTCATAGGCTTTTTTGAGTTTGGGCAAGGACACAGGGGCCCCATGAGTTGTCAGTCCACCCCTGGTCAGGACTCATGCTGACAGCAGAGGAACAGGGCAGCAGACATACACTTAGTGCACTGGACAGAAACAATTACACACTGTAGAGGCATATGCTTTGTTCATATTTCATGTCTGAAGTTTACAACCACAATAATATGCATATACACTTCAATGAAAGCCTGAAAAATCTCTTAATGTTACATGTAATTCATTTTGGTTTTCTGTCTGTGGGAGTACTGATAACTGTATCCTGGCATCCTTTACACATTTCAGCTGTCCACACATTGACAAATTTGAACTAAAGATTCCTTCATCCATGTTAAAGTGAAACTAAAGGAAGTGAAACTTACCTTTAATCCAAAAGTCCCTGTCTCTCATGGTGTTAACATCTTATTCTTGGTCTTCAACCACCTTCACTGGCTGGCGTGCGGCTTCCAGACACAAAGGGCTCCATCGGTTGTCAGAATATGTGAATAGTGCCTGCATCTGATTGCACATGGCATATTTGGTAAAAGTTAATCAAAAGTTCAATCAATTTTTGTTATGCCAGGTAATGCCGACCAGCCAGGCCACCCTTGGGTTAAATTTTGGGCCGTTTTAGCATGAATCGTCCAAAATTTAAGCTTTTTTGTATGACAGTCTTTAGTGTCTCTGCTGCCCTAGCCATGTATCAGGATGACTGACAGCAATTCAGTGTAGCATAGCAGGGAGCAGGCCTCAAAACATCTTGTGCTGTCAACTAGCTCAGGAAATTTAGCGAATCTGTTTATTTGAATATCCCAGCCACGGCACCACCTGCCTGGAGTTTGCATGTTCTCCCTGTGCCTGCGTGGGTTTCCTCCGGGTACTCCGGTTTCCTCCCACACTCCAAAGACATGCTGGTAGGTTAATTGGCTCTTGTCTAAATTGTGAATGTATAATATATATGTAAAAGCGCTGTGTAAATTGATGGCGCTATATAAGTACCTGAAATAAATAAATAGTAAGGTGGCACAAAGTTCAGGATATCTTTTTCTAGCTGTTTCCTCTCTCACTCTGCAAATCCTTTTCCCACAGCATCCAAGAGAGACTGCATCGAGCGATTTGGGGTACAAACACTGCAACGTGTCAACAAGGATGACGACGTCATTTGTACTACAGAGTATTCCCGAATAGTGCCACTAGAGAATGGAGAGGTGAGTGGTAACTCTTCCATGGAATAAAATATATAGAAAATAAAAATAATTAATATAGCATTTGCATTGCTACACAAGCCGTTTTGTAATGTAATGAAATTAAAAATGAAATTTCCTTTTTTTTCAATCTGCAGCAACTGTAAAATTCAATGCAATATGGCAACCTGGAGGCATTCTGTACATGTTGTCGTACAGAAGTCCCCCCTGCAATATCATTTCCTACTTTTGTGATTGGCTCACTAAATTTCCCGGAAGTCTACACTAAGTTTCAAGTCACATTTTAGACGCTCCTACAAAAGGATTTTAGTTTTGGTGAGATACATTCTAAGGGTTAAATACTTCTAAAGGGATGCAGACCCTGCATCTTTCCTCATTAGAACACTTAGAGTGCATCAGCTGATTATAATGAACCAGACCCCCCATTCAAAATCATTCCATATCCGCCACCCCCCTCTGCCAATCCCTCCACTGGCTTCCGATTGCCCAACGCAAAAAAATTCAAAATATTAAAATTGACATACAAAGCTGTTCATAACACTGCCCCAAGCTACATCACCGACCTGATATCCATCTGCCACCCAAAACGCACTCTCCGCTCCTCACAAGACCTCCTACTCTCCAGTTCCCTGGTCTCCTCCACCCATTCCCATCTCCAGGAAATCTCCAGGGCTTCCCCCATGCTTTGGAACTCACTACCCCAATCCATCAGACTGTCACCTTCCCTCCTCACCTTTAGACGCACCCTGAAAACCCATCTCTTCAGAGAAGCCTACCCCGCCCTCACCTATTTGCTGATCTCCTCCGCTCTTCCCACCACTCCATCCCCCACAGCTATTTCCTCCTGTACCACTCTCCCCTCGCTCCTAGATTGTAAGCTCCAAGGATCAGGGCCCTCGAACCCCTCGTGTATTGTATTGTATTTACTGTACTGTCTCATGTACTGTCCCCCACTATAATGTACAGCGCTGAGCAAATCGTTGGCGCTATATAAATACTGTATAATAATAATAATTCTGAAAAGGACACGGTGAAATAAAAAGATAATAAAAAGCTATTTCTTTAGCGCAACAAAAGGGCAGAATCTGCAACAAAGTTTCTTAACCCTTTCCCGCTGCCGCCTCCATGCCCTTTAAGAACTTTTAAATGCCTGGAGGTGGACATACGGGGGTCATGTGATCCCCATGATCGGCTGTGACAGCAGTCACATGATCAGAAAGCTCCCGATTGCACTATGCATTGGGATCTTTTCTGGTCCCTGCCGGTAAGTGTGTTGAGAGCGTACAGGGCGCGCGCTTTCAGCACAGAAATGTGTTTACATAGGGCTGCACATATGTGGCCTCTCATTGTGAAAGACCTCCTGCTGAGAGTCCGCATGTATGTATACCATCAGAGGGAAGAAGTTAAAATCCCCGCAATGTACATCGATCACCCAGAGGGGACTGTTTTTTCCTCAGTGAAGTGGAGTAGCTCCTTAACAAAAGCAGTTGACATAAGTACAAGAGGCCTTATTGTTAAGTAAATCAGCTAAATAAACACTTCAATTTTAGGCAGAAAAATGATTTGGATTGTTTACTGCGGCTATCAAGAACAGTGCTCTCTCTAGAAACTGACCGGCGTCTTATTACCAGCGGTTTTTGTCATTTCAGATTGTGGTTTCTTTGGTCAACAAACGTCCCGGGGCCATGAATTTCTCCTACTCCCCCCTCCTGAGGAACTTTACAAAAGCCACCAACATCCGTCTAACTTTTCTGCGGACCAACACCCTGCTGGGTCACCTCATGGGGAAAGCACAGGGGGATCCCACTGTGACCCGGAGAGTAAGTAATGAGGAAAATGTGTTTTCGGAGGATTGCTTTGGAGTATCTGCTAAGTAAATTCTAGCCGAAACAGTATTAGACATTTACAATAGTGATGCTTGTGCTAATCATATCCCATGATCACTGCTGTAATGTCCTGCTTTGTATTCTTTTTCTGCTAACCAGACTAGCCCCACTCCAGTCTGTTATGAACACTCTCACTCGGCTCATACACCCTTCTTCTGGATACTCTCTCTCACTTTGCTCTGGCTTCCCACTGTCGACAGGATACACTTCCAAATCCTGCTTCTAAACAGTCTGGCTCCTTCTCTCATCTTCTTAGTTTCCAGGTATATGTTCAACTAGACCTTTTTTTTTTTCCATTAACAAGCTTTTCTCCTTGATCACCACTTCCATCCACTTTTTTGGGGCTTCTCTGCTGCACTTCTAGAACCCTTTCTCGTGTGTCTTCAAACGCTCACCAAGCCTGCAAGTCCTTGTATAAGCCTTCAAAACTCATTGCCTATCCCTTACTAACAGCATCTCCATCCTATCACCTACTGTACCCACTTCTAAATTGTTACCTACAAGTAGGCTGGCCAACAGTGCCCTAGTTGAAGGGATGTTCTTTATTTATCTAACTCTTCTATTAACAATTAATAAAAGCCAGTTGTGAAGTCTGTGGTGGAATCCTCTACAGGCTACCTGACATTTAATGTAACCTTCCTTCTTTTTTTTTTTCTTACACATGCTAATAACCAATCCTTCTTTAACTTCCCCACTTTCATGTGTATGTCAAAGCCACCAATAGTGCAACTGGTGCTGCTGAGAAGAGTTCCTTTCTCTCTTGCCATCTATCCCATCAACTTTAGATCGTAAGCTTTCCCGGAGAGAACTTTGTAGTTATACAGTTTAATTTATTTGTTATAGCCCCTGTAAAGCCACACTTTGTATTGCTGTTTATGTGTCGTATAAATAATATTGTTTTTTTTTTTAATTTCCAGTATTACTACAGTATCAAAGATATTAGCATTGGAGGGCGTTGTGTCTGTAATGGTCATGCTGAAGTGTGCAATGCTAAGGACCCCACCAACCCATACAGGTAACAGGCTAGGAAAAAAATAAGCACCCCGGAACAACCAATCACCTGCAAATATTATTTTTCATGTAAGGGTTCATGTACACTGCAGCTGATAAACTCACGTTTAGGATCTGTTCAGCATTTTTTTTCAGCAGCCCCTGAACTCTCCCTAATGTTTTCCTATGTGTCCATGTACACATCTTCGTTTACAGTCGTTTACAGGTATTTGAGTTTACAGTCGTTTTTTTGAACTCAGAAAACTTCTGTTCAGCAGTCGATTTTATCAGCGTTTTAAACGCAATTCACGTTCATAAGTGTTTGCGTTTGAAATTTTTTTTAACTCTTCCAGTTCCCGATGCTGTCCAGAGCCTTTTTCATCATGAAAAATGCATGCAAAGCGTTTTCAAGGTACTCAAATGGACAAAACACTGAACACAGGATGTTCCTACCAAGCTTGTCACACATTGTAATTCACACCAATTCACACCTCACACCTCTCCCAAGCTTGGAAACAAAAGATATGTTAATGACCATTCACACCTCAAATTCCTCATGAAGACCCCCTGCCAGGTGGCCTTAATGACTCTTTCCCCAAGACACCTCTCCCACCCTTGGAAACAAAAGATATGTTAATGCACATTCACACCTCAAATTCCTCATGAAGACCCCCTGCCAGGTGGCCTTAATGACTCCCTCCACCAGACACCTTTCCCACCCTTGGAAACAAAAGAAATGTTAATGAGCAACTCACACCTAAGCTAATCTCAACACATACTGCTGTCTCTGCTTCTACTCTCTGTATTTCTCTGAAACAGTCTAAAATAGTTAATAATTTACCACTTTTCAGTGCATTCTGGGCATTTGGGAGGTTCTCCTGTGCTTCTCTTTAAAAAACGCTTCTAAACGCATTATGCAAACGCGGCTAAACAGATTTTTTTTAACCTACGTTTTCCAGCAGTCAGTTTCCATCGTTCAGAAGTTTCCCGTGTACATGGGGCCTAAATGTCAATAGTTGTTATTGGAGTGTTGGAAGGAAAAAACCTTAGCAATCAGAGAGAATTTGAAAAAAAAAAAGTTTTTATTGCCATATGCAAACATATACATATCCAAATATGCATACATATCATAATACATTACCAATCCATCCAACAATAGGAGTATTACATTCTTGCAAGATGTATGGCATATCTATCATTTATTCAACCACTGTATGGAAGTACCAATGTACACATATCATAGTTAAGGATGTGGTGATTAGTATTACAGTCGCATACAGGAGTGGACTGACAACTCATCGGGCCCCTGAGCAATAGGGGATCATGGGGCCCATGTGTCTTTGCCCAAACTCAAAAACACCTATGAAAAAGGTACCAGGGGCATCTCATGGGGCCCCCTACTGACCCTGGGCCCTCGGGCAGTGCCCGAGTTTCCAAATGGTCAGTCCGCCCCTGGTCGCATAAAAGCTTTTATGACATCAGTAAAACAGGCAAGAAAAAAAAAACAGAAAAAACTAGCCGGGATAGCACTTTCCCACCCCAAAGAAAAGAAGAAATACACAATATGTCTGGGGCTTATCACATCTCTCAGCTCCAAATACTGTCCAAGTGCCTCCCCTCCAAAACAAACCCTGATCCATCAAGAATCATCCTGTACCGTTTCTCTGGAAGCCTCCCACCGGGACCATATCTTTCTGAATTTTCCAGTACACCCCCTTGCTTCATACGTCATCTCATACATTTGAAGATCCACATTAACCAATTTTTTCCATGCCCTCAAATCCAAAGTATCAGAGCGTATCCAACGCTATCAGCCTTCATGCATAAAAGAATAAAATTCTCAGAGAAAGCTTGGTAGCGTTATTCATCTGTTCATCCTCAAGCTCTCCTAAGAGACACTGAGAGAATTTTAGTTTTATTCACTCATTACAGTATGGGAGAATCTTGTCGGTTAATGGGCTTTTAGGAATGAGGACCAATGTGTTTACAAAGGAAAGTATCTGGCGTGTGATGGACTAAGACAAGGCTGCAGGTCATAGAAGAGTTTACATTACCAGCAGAGGAGCTGTCTGTGAAATGAGTTATTCTCTGCACTAGCTGTCAGGCGTGTAGGCTGAGATGATGGACGAGAGGTTATCCATGTACCTGCTCCTCTTGTCATCGCCTACTTCTTGCCTCAGGCTGCCATCTCTACATGATCCAACAGTGTCTGATGTTTTCTGATCACAGGCTGAGACTTTACCTGAGAGGATAACCCATGACCCCACTGGTAATATACTGGGATTCTCCTGTCACATTTTCCCCCCATGCTTCAAACTGGGCTCAGGTCTGCCTCAGGCAAACACGGAGTGTGTAGGACTTGTCGAAGCTGTTATGATTAATTTATGGCCTTGTCGTTGATGCCTTAGCCTTAAAATTTGTATAGGTGACTGAAATGAAGAATGGATTTTTTTGCCGCCCATCACGACAGGGAGACCTCTGAGATTCTCCTGTGGTGTGGCCTTAGTCAGCAAGACTTTAAAAAGAGTGGTGACCACATGGTAGTAGTTCATGACAAAAAAAAAAGTATATAAGTATACCAAATTCCTAACTAGAATGCATTATAAATCCAATCTTTAGTAAAATCCAGTTCACACAGGAAAGTCCAATCAATGATGGTAACAAAGTCTTGCTGTGCCAGGCAGGCAGAGGACACCATCACTAATGAGCCATGGTTTCCTCTGCCTGCCTTGGCGCTGCAAGTCCTTGTTTTTCCCCCATGCTTCAAACTGGGCTCAGGTCTGCCTCAGGCAAACACGGAGTGTGTAGGACTTGTCGAAGCTGTTATGATTAATTTATGGCCTTGTCGTTGATGCCTTAGCCTTAAAATTTGTATAGGTGACTGAAATGAAGAATGGATTTTTTGCCGCCCATCATGACATGGAGACCTCTGAGGTTCTCCTGTGGTGTGGCCTTAGTTGGCAAGACTTTAAAAAGAGCTGTGATCATATGGTAGTACATGACAAAAAAAAAAAAAGTATATAAGTACACCAAATTCCTAACTAGAATGCATTATAAATCCAATCTTTAGTAAAATCCAGTTCACACAGGAAAGTCCAAACAATGATGGTACAAAGTCTTGCTGCGCCAGGCAGGCAGAGGAAACCATCACTAATGAGCCATGGTTTCCTCTTCTTGACTTTGGCACTGCAAGTCCTTGTTTTTCCCCCATGCTTCAAACTGGGCTCAGGTCTGCCGCAGGTAAACACGGAGTGTGTAGGACTTGTCGAAGCTGTTATGATTAATTTACAGCCTTGTCGTCGATGCCTAAGCCTTAAAATTTGTATAGGTGACTGAAATGAAGAACGGATTTTCTGCCACCCATCATGACATGGAGACCTCTCAGGTTCTCCTGTGGTGTGGCCTTAGTCAACAAGACTTTAAAAAGAGCGGTGACCACATGGTAATAGTTCATGACAAAAAAAAAAAAAAGCATATAAGCACACCAAATTCGTAACTAGAAAGTATTATAAATCCAATCTTTAGTAAAATCCAGTTCACACAGGAAAGTCCAATCAATGATGCTAACAAAGTCTTGCTGCGCCAGGCAGGCAGAGGAAACCATGACTAATGAGCCATGGTTTCCTCTGCCTGCCTTGGCACTGCAAGTCCTTGTTACCCCCATTGATTGGACTTTCCTGTATAATGCAGAAGGTTGTTTTGCACCCTTTTTGTTTTTTCTTCAATAGTTTATGAAAACCAATCAACGTCTGATAGGTTGCTCTTGATTGTTGCCTTGCTCCTTGCATTGACTCCTTGAATGAGTCCACACCAATCAAAAACATTTCTATAGTTTTTGAGTTGCTTAAATATAACTTAATGAAGCTTAGTTCATGAAACTGGAACCAGCTGCTGATATGCAGATTATCTGATCTCTTAAAGAACGTTTTTTAAAACAATAGTACATAATGATTAGATTATATGCATCAGACTGATCTCTTATACAAGCAGGGGCGGACTGACCATTCGAGCACTCGGGCACTGGCCGGGGGTCAGTAGGGGGCTCCATTAAATGCCCCTGGTACCTTTTTTATAGGCTCTTTTGGGTGTGCTTTGAGTTTGGGCAAGGACACGGGGGCCCCATGATCCCCTATTGCCGGGGGCCCCATGAGTTGTCAGTCCGCTCCTGTATACAAGTACAGCAATACAAACAAACAATCATTGGTTTACTGTTCCCATTTAATGAACATTAGTTTTCTCTCCATGCCTTTCAGACTTCTCATCATTTCTCCTTGTTTTTCCAATAGGTTACAGTGCGACTGCCAGCACAACACTTGTGGGACGTCATGTGACAGCTGCTGTCCTGGCTTCCATCAGGTGGCGTGGCAACCGGCGACCATGGATAATTCCAATGAATGTGAACGTATGTCTTCCAATTACTCATTGTTTTATGGTTTTGAGGGGGGTTTTTTGTTTTACTTTAGCTGAAAAAAAAAATGTCCAGGCTGCTTTTGAACCATTTGATATTAACCACTTTAAGTCCAGACACTTTCACCCCCTTCCTGTCCAGGCCAATTTTCAGCTTTCAGCGCTATCGCACTTTGAATGACAGTTGCGCGGTCATGCAACACTGTACCCATATTAATTTTTTAGCATTTTTTTGAGACAGATAAAACTTTATTTTGGTGGTATTTATTCACCGCTGGGATTTACATTTTTTTTGCTATATAAATGAAAATGTTGAAAAAAAGTGTTTTTCTTATAAAATTTTGCAAATAAATAATCTTTCTTCATAACTCCTTGCCACAATTTATTCAGTTATCTTTTAGGAAAAAAAAAATAACCCAAATTACTTTATAACCAAAAATTATATTTTTAAAAAAAATTTTTTTTACTTTTTATTTAATTTTTTTATATTATTTGTGTTTTTTTTAACATACCGTCACCCTAGCAGTACAGTGTCACCATAGTGACACTGTATTGCTTGTTGGGGGTGATGATTTTTTTTTTTCTTTTGTTACACTGCTTTTACACCCAAAAA